TGTTCCTCACGTTTTTCAATTGTTGTTATTCTCTTGTGCATAACGTTGCCATATACAAGAAAATAATATGTGTTATATCATTCAAACATATACAAGAAAACAATATATTTAAAACATTTTTCAATTGTTGTTATTCTCCTACCTATAACATTGTCATATATGTTTTGTCAAGTCTTGTTGAAAGTGTCGATAGATTTGTTTATCACAAACATCAGGTCTTCTACGTAGAAACTCTTGAAAATCAATATTAGAATCATCTGGTAATCTTGTCGCATCATTACTCAAATGATCATAAGAAAAAAAAAAATTTCTATCGTATGAGGCACATTCATCTTTAAAAATTATGATGTGCAATATGATACATGTATTCATTATGCACTGGAGTGCATCTAAATGCCAAGAACGTTTTGGGTTACATATGAACGCAAAACGGGATTGGAGAACTCCAAATGCTCGTTCAATATCCTTTCTTGCACCTTCTTGATGTTGGACAAACAATTTTCTCTTATCCCCTTGTGGCATCGGGATACTTTTCACAAATGTGGTCCATGGCCCATTCAAGATAAATACAATTTGATATATAATATGTCTTATTGTATTCAGTATAATTGATTGTATAATGAACCTCGAGAGCTCGTCCTTGCAGAACATCGTTGAAGACATTGGATTGGTTCAACAAATTAATATCCTTGTTTGAAACTGCTACCCCAAAAAATACATGCTAAATCATAAGTATGGTGAAGCCAATGTTTCAAGCATAACAGTTGTATTCTCATGATCTCCTCGAACGTATTGCCCTTTAAATGCAACTGGACAATTTTTTTATTCCTAATGCATAAGATTAATGCTCTCTAACATACTTGGAAATCCTCGTGCCTCCCCTATTCGCATTAGGCATTCAATGTCTTTAGCGTCTGTCCTTCGCAAATATTGTGCCCCAAATATGTTAATCACTCCTCTTGTAAACTTATCAACATATTTTAGTGTTGTGGCATCACCAATTCTCATTATCATCCACACTATATGTTCCATATGCCAACATACAGACAATAGCAATGCATTTTTTTAATAGTGAAAGAGATTACCTACCATTCGCATCAACCATTATTCGAAAATACTCATCCTAGTGACCCAGAGCTTTAAAAATACGAAGAAACACATGTTTATGCATTCGGTACCTTCGATAAAATTGCTCATTTGTGTATACCAAAGTTTCTAACAAATAATCATTGAATAAGCAATTATGTCCCTCTTCACGATTCGTCTCTATATTCCTTTTTTAATTTATATGCCTTTTAGGGCTCGAGGCTTCTTCTTTCATAAACATCCTCACAAGATCTTCATCCATATCATCATTCATATAATCCATGAACATTTTGCAATGTAGGAAGGGTTGGAAGGATCCATGTGAAAATAAGTTTGATATTGATTAGAAGATGATAAAAAAAATTGTGAAGAATCAAAGAGGTAGAGAATGAGAAGAAGTACTATGAAACTTAGTGTGCATGTTAATACTATTTATAAGACTAGTTTATAGCAGCTAGTTTGACTTTGAATATTGCCTAGTTTTAATAGCGGCTAGTTTGAATTTGAATAACTACTAGTTTAAATAATGTCTAGTTTGAATAACGACTAGTTTGACTTTGAATAATGACTAGTTTGAATATTAGCTAGTTTGAGTAACAACTAGTTTGAATAACGGCTAGTTTGACTTTGAATAACATATAGTTTGAATACATAGTCAAATTTCAAAATACATAATCATACTAATTAAGTCCATATCAATGAAGTCCATATCAATTTTGTAATTCAAAATACATAATCATACTAATTAAGTCCAAAATACATAATCATACTAATTAAGTCCATATTTTTCTTTAATCATGTCGCACAATACTTCATGAGCTTGGAGTTGTCTTATATCCATATTTGATGTATCTTTTAAGTGTATTTACAGATCATTCATCTTCAATCTTTCCTCAACACCTTTGGTCTTCTTAATATTTGCATCAGCCTTTTTTTTTCTCTATATCGACTTTTTCACCTCAATACGTGCATAGTCTCATGCAAACATCAAACTTATTTTTTTGTGAATTCATCTTTTAAAGAATCATATTTGATATTGGGAGTAGAAGACATTTCAACAAGCTTTTCTTTCTTTTTCCTTTTGACTGCCTCTTTACCAATTGGATGATGTAATAAAGTAGGTGATGGTGGATTATATTCACTACTCGTTGGTGTTAATGGATAAGAAGATGAAGAATATGCTCGTGTAGCTGAGTTCTTTGTTCTTTTTACTGAAACTTTGGATGAACCTGTGAGCCATTTAGGTTCATCTTTCAATAATCTCCATGCAGCCTCAAATTTAAACTTTTCACCTTCATCTAGGAAATAAATTATATAAGAAGCTTGCATGATATTGTTTTCACAACTCTCGTTTTTTATGTAGATACAACTTATTTGTAGCATCCAACAAACTTTTGAACATAAGGATTTATTTTGTGTCATCTACCTTTTAGTGCCATCAGCTTCCTCTCTTTGTAATTGATGTCACAATGCTTGTTAAAAGCTTTGTCAATTCTCTTCCAAAAACTATCTCCTTCTTAATCAACCTCGACAATTGAATCCATTGAAACGTTGAGCCATGACTAAATGAGAATTTCATCCTCTTTTTGTTGGAACTTTTGTATAGATGTATTCATAACCGGTGCAGATGCAACTTCTTCACCGAGGTTAGTATTTTTCAAGCTACCTTGAGTGAAAATTTGTGGCGTTTCATATTCTTGATCATTTGATTGCACACCACCACTGCCTATTTGAACCACATGAGACATATTGGGGTTAGTTGATTGAGATGGAAATTGTTGATATTGATATGGATAAGGTGGTGTATGATACGAGTAATTTCTAAAGTGTGAGTTATTTTATGAATTTAGGATAAAATGAGAGTTTTAAAATTTTGAGTTATTGTGTGAATTTGGAATAAGAGGTGTATTTCCAAAATATGAATTGTTTTATTTATTTGGAATACTATGAGAACTTCTATCATTTTGCATAAAATTAGACCAAGTACTATATTGATTGGGGTTCATTGTGAAATAAAATGTGTAGACAAAAATTAAAATGAGATCAAATAAATTGGTCAAATTTAGACTAGATGTCAGTGAAATATTAGATAAAATAGATTACCTATTTATACTAGTAATTAAATACTACCGTTTTAAAATTATAACTATGATAAGTTTTAATTTTATTACCGTGGAACCTATTTTATTTTTGTTACCGTTGTGATTTCAATTTTATATTAGCAGTTAAAAAATGAAAAAGAGGTTAATAAAGCTTAAAGAAGGTTGGTAGTTTCTTTAGAGCATCCACAACCAAAAAAAAACTCACTTTAATTCTTTAAATGAATCTTATTAAATTTTTTAAATTATTTTACATTTTTTTAATTATTTAAGTAACTCATCTACATTTTTCAAATATTCATAAAACTTATCAAAAATTTTAAAATGAATCCCACAAAATATCACAATACACTTTACCTTTAATAATTTTTTTGATCCAACTTATTTGAAAGAAAAAAAAAACTCTCATAACGTGAGAACGATACCAAGAAAAGGAACACTTCTATAGAGGCAATTATCCAAATGACCCTAATACAGCTACTTTGAAAATAATGTAGGAATGATCAAAAACTGTTGATATTGATGCTCTTACGTTTTACAAACGAGAATGATTGAAATGGTAAACATCAATAATACATTAATACTCTGACAGCATGTCGGAAAAAAAAAACTGATTATCATGCTCTAAGAACATCCACACCCATCAACCATACTTTGTTTATTTAAATGGGTCCACACAATTATTTATATTATATAACACTTTACATTTTCTAAACAACTCAATTACATTTTTCAAATATCTATATAACTCATCAAAAATTCTAAAATGGGCCCCCGCCAAATCTCACAATATACCCAATATTTATATTTATAAAAAAAATAATTGAAACCATTTAATTCAAATATATCAAAATACATAAAAAAAAGTATACATTTAAAATAAAATAAATATATATTAAAAAACACAATACATCACACAAATAATTAATTAAAAAATATATTAAAAAAACATAATCATTAAATTAAATTACTAGCACAAAATACAATAAAAATATATATATTTAAAATATTTTTTAATTGTTGTTATTCTCATGTCCATAACGTTGTCATATATGTTCTATCAAGTCTTGTTGAAGGTGTCGATGAATTTGTTTATCGCAAACATCAAATCTTCTACGTAGAAATTCTTGAAAATCAACATTAGAAGAATCATTCAGCAATATTGTCGCATCATTACTCAAATGATCATAAGAAAAATCAAAATTTCCACCATATGTTGCACGTTCATCTTCAACAATCATGTTGTGTAATATGATGCATGTATTCATTATGTGCTGGAGTGTGTCTAAGTGCCAAGATCGTGTTGAGTTACGTAAGATCGCGGTATTGGAGAACTCCAAATGCTTGTTCAATATCCTTTCTTGCCCCTTCTTGATGTTGGGCAAACAATCTTCTCTTATCCCCTTGTGGCATCGAGATACTTTTTACAAACGTGGCCCATTCAGAATAAATATCATCTGATAGATAATAACCCTTGTTGTATTCTGTATGATTGATTGTATAATGAACCTCGGGAGCTCGTCCTTGCAGAACATCGCTGAAGACATTGGATTGGTTCAACACATTAATATCATTTTTTGAACCTACTAGCCGAAAGAATGCATGTCAAATCCATAAGTCTTATGAAGCCACCGCTTCAAGCGTAACAGTTGGTTTCCCATGATCGCCTCGAACGTACTGCCCTTTCAATGCAACTGGACAATTTTTGCATTCCCAATGCATGCAGTCAATGCTCTCTAACATACCAGGAAATCCTTGTGCCTCTCCCATTTGCATTAGGCGTTCAATGTCTTCAGCATTTGGCCTTCGCAAATATTATGCACCAAAGATGTTGATCACTCCTCTTGTAAACTTATCAACACATTTTAGTGTCGTGGTTTCACCAATTATCAAATAGTCGTCCACACTGTCAGCAGATGTTCCATATGTCAACATGCTGGTAACAACAATGCTAACAACAATGCATTTCTGTAATGGTGAAAGACTTGCCCTACCTGTTACGTCAACCATCATTCGAAAATACTCATCATGTTGACCTAGAGCTTCAACAATACGAAGGAACACATGTTTATGCATTTGGTACCTTCTACGAAACTGCTCATTTGTGTATATCGAGGTTTCTGAAAAATCATCTTTGAACAATCGATCGTGTCCCTCTTTACGATTGCTCTCTATATTCCTTCTTTGACGTCTAGGCCTTCTAGAGCTTGAGGCTTCTTCTTCCATATACAACCTCACACGTTCTTCATCCATGTCATCATTCATATAATCCATGAACATTTTTGTAATGTGGGAAGGATTGGAAGGGTCCATGTGAAAAGAAGTTTAATATTTAGTAGAAGATGATAACAAATTATAGAGAATGCAAGAGATTAGTGTGCATGTAAATACTATTTATATGACTACTTTGAATAACGGCTAGTTTGACTTTGAATAACGGCTAGTTTGACTATGAATAACTATTACTTTGAATAAAAGCTAGTTTGACTTTGAATAATGGCTAGTTTGACTTTCAATACATAATCATACTAATTAAGTTCATATTAATTAATTGCAAAATACATAATCACACTAATTAAGTCCAATATACCTAATCATATCAATTAAGTTCAAAATACATAATCTTACTAATTAAATCCAAAATACATAATCATACTAATTAAGTCCATATTTTTCTCTAATCATGTCGCACAATATTTCATGAGCTTGTAGTTGTCTTGTATCCATATTTGATGTATATTTTGAGATTATTTGTATATCATTCATCTTTAATCTTTCCTCAACACTCTCAGCCTTCTTAATCTCTGTATCAACCTTTTTTCTCTCTATCTCAACTTTTTCACCCTCAACGCATGCATAGTCCAGTGCAAACATTAACATCAGATTAATTTTTTTTTAAAGTTATCTTTCAAAGAATCATATTTGACACTGGGAGTAGAAGACATTTCCACAAGCTTTTCTTTCTCCTTCCTTTTGCCTGCCTTTTGACCGATTAGAGGGCGAGACAAAGTAGGTGATAATGGATCGTGTTCGTTGCTCATTTGTGGATTTGAAGATGAAGAATATGCTCCTGAAGCTGAATTCTTTATTCTTTTTGTAGAAGCTTCTGAGAAACCTGCGAGCCATTTAGGTTCATCTGTCAATAATCTCCATGCAGCCTCAAAAGTAAATTTTTCACCTTCATCTTGGAAATAGATTTTATATGCAGCTTGCATGATATTGCTCTCGAAACTCCCACTTTGTTGTGTAGACACGGCTTGTTTATAGCACCCAACAAACTTTTGAACAGATGGATTAATTTTGTGTCATCGACCTTTTAGTTGTGTCGGTTTCCTCTCATTGTAATTGATGTCACGATGCTTGTTGTAAGTTTCGCCGATCCTCTTCCAAAAACTATCTCCTTTTTTATCAACCTCAACAATTGAATCCTTTGAAACGTTGAGCAAGGATTGAATGAGAACTTCATCCTCTTTTTGTTGGAACCTTTGTTTATGTGTATTCACAACCGGTGCGGATGCAACTTCTTCACCAAGGTTAATAGTTTATAAGCTACCTTGAGAGCAAAATTGTGGTGTTTCATGTTCTTGATCATTTGATTATGCACCACTACTACCTATTTAAGTCTCATGAGGTATAGTAGGGTTAGTTGATTGAGATATAAATGATTTATGTTATGGATAAGGTGGTGTATAATATGAGTAATTTTCAAAGTGTGGATTATTTTGTGGATTTTGGATAAACTTAGAGTTTTGAAAATTTTGGTTATGGTGTGAATTTGAGATAAAAGGTGCATTTCCAAAGTATGGATTGTTTTGTTGATTTGGAATAGAAGGGAACTACCAACATTTTGCATAAAATTAGACCAAAAACTATTTTGATTGGGATCCATTGACAAATAAATGTGTAGAAGAAAATAATTGAAATGAGATAAAATCAATAGTTTAAAATTAAACTAATCGTAAATGAAATTATAATAAAATTAATAATTTATTTATAAGATTGAAAAAATTACCGTTATTTTTTTTTTACATTTAATAATGTTACCGTTAGCAATAACCATGTAGCAAGTAATGACATGCAGCAAGGTTACCTTTAATTTTTTTCTTATATTATTGTAATTAAAATTTATTAAATGTTAACCATTTAATGTAAAAGTGTAGCAATAACTATCTAATCAGCAATTAAAAAAACTTACGTAAACTAGCTAACTAAAAGGTGATATATTTTCTCAATTATCCAAATAATATTGACACAATAACTTTTGTAGCAACTCAAAGAACTTGTCGATAATCATGCTCTTAAGTGTCCCAATTCAAGTTCGAGTGATTAACACCCATTTTACATGTCCTTTTTTCTTAATCATGTGTACTATATACGTGAGATCTATTCCGCATATGTTGAAATAAATGTAATTTTAATAAGTTTAATTACATAAATTACTTAAACAATTATAATTTCATCATCTATTTATACATACATATTATTACTAAGCATTTAGGCACTTCTTTGCATTTTTGCATTTAAAAAAAAAATACGTATGTTCTATGAATATATTTTCAGACGACATAATAGGTGGACCAAGTTTTCATGGCATGCACTAATGTATTTAAGACATCACTAACTGTTCCATCAAGATCAGATATCAATTTGATATTTTAAATTATAAATTTCCAATTTCAATTTTACTAAACCATTTGATCTTCATAGAAATTCCTTAATTCTCTAAATGTGTGTTCAATGTACATGAAATCAAAACTATAACAGACAAAAACATAACATAATGAGATGAACACATAACATAACAAAAAGAAGAATAAAAGAAAGAAGAAAGAAATACCTTGCTTTTGGAAAAGAAGAAATAAGAGTTGTGGTCGTTCGTAAAATGGGTTATTCAATCTGAAAAAACCGATGACAGAATTTTTTAAGATTGGACAAGAAAAACACAATTATTGGATGAGTTTAAAGATTACTAATTAAATATAGTCTTTAATGGACTTTGAACTATTCGACTTTAGACGAATTTTTTTAATAAAAAATTATAATGAAAATATCATAATATTTATTAATAAATAAAATTAAAAATTATATTATTTTAAATATAATACATTTTTAAATACTATATTATCTTTTATAGATACTATAATATATTTTTAAATAGAACATGTGTCTAAATTGTATAAAATAATACACGAATATTTAATATAAGAGAAATTAATAAAATACAAAAAAAGAGTGTTTATTATATTAATATATAAGATTTTAAAAAAAAAAAAAAAAAAAAAAATTTAATGAGATAAGAAAAATTAATGTGTTATTTTAGAACAAAACAATATAAATATTGATATTTTTTAAAAGTATATAATTATATGAGCATAATGACTATCCACGGTCCATGTAAACTAGCTCAAGTGAGTAAAATGTTTTTTAAGATTGAATTAATTTATATAAACTAGCTCTAGTGAGTAACATATATAAACTAGCTCTAGTGAGTAACATGCTTTTTAAGATTGAATCAATTTTAAGACTCAAACACTATGATTTTTTAGACTGAACTAGACTGAACGGACCGGCACATACGAACCAGCTCATTTTAACAGCTTTAGTCGCCACCCAAAATTAGCCACGCCAGTTTAACATGGCACACCCTAATTTTCAATAATACTTATATTACTCTTGACAATTCAATAGAACAAATTAAAAATCCAATATAAATTGAATAAATTTAATATGCATTTTTACCAATTTTTTTGAAATGAACACTTTCCCATTAATAAAAATGAAAAAGTCTCCTATAGGTTACACGACTAAAATCAATAATATTGCTGATTTAACCTACTTAAATGAATAAAATTTCATAATCAGTCTGAAAATCCACTTCCAAATAGCACTAATTTTATCATTTCCAAATTTTTACATCAATAGTTGTGTTAAAAGGAGGGGGAAGTTTCTCGTATATAACATTTATTTATAAGGTCAGTGATGATGATGTTAATCATTTTCAAGACAAACTGGAACTTCAATGAAATTGAATATACTTTCAAACACAAATAACTAATTTCTTGGGATCAAGGTGACAAATCCCTGCGTTATAAAAGTTTCATCAAAAATTTTAGCATACAACATGTAAGGTACACATCAATGACTAATAAAATAATTTTTACAACACTAATCAGAATATAATTGGATCGATTGCAATTTATACTCATTTGAAATCCAAACATCATTAAGTTATACAGGGCTTGATAGTCAAGAATCCATCTCCACGGAACAGACAATAAAAAAATGGGACGAACTTGATGAACAAATTCCAACAGTATCTGGATCCAAGATTGTATCTCAGTCTATTAGAATATAGGTACAAGTGGAATAACATGCCAACCATATAAAAACTCTGGAAGGTCATGTAAGGTGGTGGTTCTCTGAAGAAGTAAAAGTTGCCCATAAGCAATAAAAGAATCATAAGAATCAGCAGATACTACACATTTCACAACACTAGAAAGATGATGAATGATAATACTAAATTATGCCTTCAAGAGTACTGGTAAAGCTGGTATAACAATCCAACTTCTGCAGCCTTTGTAGTTTTCAATCGTAGCTTTCCTACAGAATTTAATCGGGCTCGGAACATGTTTCCATCAGACATTCGTCTCACAAATCGAGTAAACCGGTCCCAATTTCGGGATTCAAACATATTTTTGTCCATTCTTACAAAGTTGAATGAGAAGGGGCGTCTCTCGATGCCATCTGAGTAATATTTTGACATCTTTAGGACCTGAGTGAATCCGTCATCATCCAAATCAGTTGAAAAGTTTTGGCCTTCAAGTGATATGTCACAGAGCCTAGCATCCAGCAAAAGTTGTCTAAGAAAACCTTCGGGGCTACAATCTGGATTGATCTTCTTCATAACTATATCTTGCATTTCAAAACAAGAGCAGCACATCGAGAATCCATATTTACTAAACATGCGTAAAATTGGTAAGTATCCATCCCTGTTAAAAGTATTATAATAGCCTGCTGTTACCTCCGATGGATGGGATTGTGTGACATAGTGCCAGTGAATGGCAGCCAATTTTGCTGATATGTGGACTTCTGTACCCCTAAATATAGTTTCAGCTTCCCTACAAATTCTCTCTCCATGCAGTAGCAGCATATCCGAGTACCATTCAAGAAAAAATTTACCATATGGCATGTTCCAAGAGCCACCCTCGTTTCTAAAGAATTCAGTTCGCTCCGGATTTTGGATCAAACTTCCAGCACCAGATGGACCACCATTTCCCCATTCACGCTTTCCAATATTTCGGGCGGAGGCGTTT